GCTGTGAATATCTGTGAGTATAAAAATGTGATATTGAATACTGATATGCAGACATAAACATTGAAAGAGAAAAAATAAGAACAACACTGTAGGAGAACTAAGTCCCCGCCTATTATGATAGGAATCTAGTCTAAGCTCATTATTCACATGGTTACACATTTTTAGAAACCTAATATTAACAAGACAAAATAGCTAAAAGTGGGTGTGTCTCTTAGGCGGAGCAATGGAAGAGATGGTTGGTTAGCGATTGCATTTTGCATATACCCTTTTAGTGCTATTGAAATTTTTAAAGTAGATGCATGTATATTTTTGTAATACAATAAATAACAGTATACACGTTTTCTTTTAGAATTATGCTGTTAAACAGAATTAACAACAGAAAGTCTCAAAATTGTTTCCTTCAGGGGAGAAGACATTGACAGGGGAAAGTTCTGAAACACCGGCTTTGCATACTGCTGCTTTGCAGTTAAAAAATTACATTTTAACTTCAAAATATCCAAACTAATAACACGGCTTTATAATAACACATTACAAATATTACAAAGTAATAAAAATGCAAGTAATACAGAGTGGAAATGCAAAGCTATTTGTGCTAGAAGGCTAACACTCAATTAGTCATAAGAAACAAAAAAATTAAAAAACAAGGTAGTTGTGACTTACCTTGGTCAATCACTTTCCATAGTTATTGAAGCCATTCAATCTGGGAATTTCATCTCCAAAATGAAGGAAAAAAGCAAAAGAAGCTAGTGGAGAGGTCTCTGATGGGCTGAAGGGAGATGTGGGTGCCTGAGCTGAGTCGAGCTACTCAAATGGCACACCTGATGATGCTACCTTTTCACTTGGGGCTGAGGAGGAAAGAAGAAAGACAAGTTCCCCCGGCCACTTCCGGTCTTCTGACTTCACTTCCTGCCTGCCCTCTGATAATACGTCCGGTGTGACGTCACTTCCTGTCTTCAGATGTCCTGTAAGACCTCACTTCCTGTCTTCTCTCACCACTTCCTGTCTGCTGACTTTACTTCCTGTCTTGATATCACTTCCTGCCGCTTTTTTTTTTTTGACAGGGTCTCACTCTGTCGCCCGGGCTGGAGTGCAGTTGTGCGATCCTGAAACAGCCTTTGCAAAATTATGACTGAGTCAGTGAAAGAGATTTAACTTAACTGATTCCATTTGGCTTCTAACCTCCAAGCTGTCCTTTTTCATTCCTGGGCGTAGGCTGAACTAACTTGGGGAGAAACTTCGTTTACAGTTTATAGTTTAAACAAAGATGATAGCCCTTTCCCAAAGCAGACCTCTTTCTTGCTTGGGGACTAGATTGCCTCTGTAGGATTAGTAGCCACAAGATTAGAAATTATGGTTTTGTAAGGTTAACCGAGAGAAAGGATAATAGATCCAAAGTCAGGTAAGCAAGTTTTATTTACCTGCCGGGCTGCCCTGTAACAATTAGCGGAGGCAGCCCCGAGCTTACAAAATGAGAGGTTTATGTGGGGAGAGGGACATAAGGGAGTTTCAGGACCAAGGTAGTAACAGACTTACATCATCCTGTGACTTTTGTGGTGGCAGTTTTACAAAAACAAGATTTTACAGATATGTGTAAAACAGGGATTTACAAGTATGGATAACAAACGTTTGCTTTCCCTGTCCTCCCCCTGAGCTGCCCAGATGGCTGTAATCAGGCCTTTGCTTAATTGTAGCCCATCTGGCAACCTTGATGTGGCACCTAGATAGGTGTTCAGGATTGCAGCTGCAGAGTAATCACAGTGGGGGGGCGGGTGGGGGGTCAGCTTGTGGAGAGGGTTTTCTGAGGCAACTTGTCCCCAACAGGTTTAGGAGTCATGCAGCTGGAGGCTTCCCTAAACTGCTCCTAAGATCAGTGCTTGAGATAATTTTCAGACCCTGCACTTAGTGGATCAGCTGACACCACTGAGGTGAATAAACTGGCTCATCTGATCTTGTGGTCCCCACCCAGGAACTGACTGATTGCAAGAAGATAGCATCAACTCCCTGATTTCATCCCTGACCAATCAGCACTTCTGGCTCACTGGCTTCCCACCCACCCATCAAGTTATCCTTAAAAACTCTGTTCCAGGCCAGGTGCGGTGGCTCACGCCTGTAATCCCAGCACTTTGGGAGGCCGAGGCGGGTGGATCACGAGGTCAAGAGATCAAGACCATCCTGGTCAACATGGTGAAACCCCGTCTCTACTAAAACTACAAAAAAAAAATTAGCTGGGCATGGTGGTGCGTGCCTGTAATCCCAGCTACTCAGGAGGCTGAGGCAGGAGAATTGCCTGAACTCAGGAGGCGGAGGTTGCGGTGAGCCGAGATCGCACCATTGCACTCCAGCCTGGGTAACAAGAGCGAAACTCCATCTCAAAAAAAAAAAACCAAACAACAAAAAAAAACTCTGTTCCCTGAATGCTCGGAGACACTAAAACTCTGGTCTCTTGCACAGCTGGCTCTGCGTGAATTATTCTTTCTCTATTGCGATTCCTTGGTTGTGATGAATCAGCTCTGTCTAGGCAGTGGGCAAGGTGAACACCTTGGGCGGTTACTATCTCATCTCACTGCAGCCTCCACCTCCTGGGTTCAAGCAATTCTCCTGCCTCAGCCTCCCAAGTAGCTGGGATTACAGACATGCACTACCACACTCAGCTAAATTTTGTATTTTTAGTAGAGATGGGGTTCACCATGTTGACCAGGCTGGTCTCGAACTCCTGATCTCATGTGATCCACCCGCCTCTGCCTCCCAAAGTGCTGGGATTACAGGTGTGCACTTCCTACCTTTACTTGCACAGTGCATGACATTTACTTGATCTACACTGCCCTGTCTGGGTGAGAAGGGGAAGCCTGGAGAAGCCTGGGTCAGGGCTCAAGGAATGAGCAAGAGAGGAAGGGATGTGGTTACCATGGATGTTGTCCTGGGGCACAGGATGTGGTCTGGGATTGGGGATTGTGAAAACGGATGACCCTCACCGAGGTCTGTCTGCCACAGCTGTAGCTGAGCCAGAGGATCTTGAACAGGAGAGAGTTCTTTCTATTCTTGTGGAACAGCTACAGATTGAGCAACGTGTGACTTAACTCATGGGAGTGACCTTAGCTTTGAGAAGCCCGAAAATGAGGCTTGGAGATAGAGAGGGGTATGTGTGTATGCTGGGGAAGGGGATCAGGCTCTCATGATCTCTGGCTCTGCTTTTTTTGCTCCAGAACATTTCCCAAGCCCACTATCTGGGCTAACCCAGCCCTTGTGCTTCCCGGGTGCAAACGTGGCCATGGCATTGCAGAATAGTTTTTTTGTATCCTTATCAGAGACCCCAGTGAATACTTTGTTCTTGATCATCAATGTGATGAGATCCAGAGCAAGCAAGTGCTAATGCTGCTGTGATCCTGGGGCCACATTTTCAGAACTCAGTGATGGGCAGAGGCAGGTGGTCACAGGTAAGGAGATGTGAGAAACAAGACAGCAGTACGTGTTCATCCCTGAACACCTACAGATTCACCCATGTGCCCTGTTTCAGTTTTCAGTACTTGCCTGTCAGGAGGTTGGCCAGATGAAATACACACGTTGGAGAAAGATGGTTAGTTATGAGTGCAAGGTTATATTTTTTGGACCCCTGGGGTGTCAATACAGTTCCTAAATGAATGTACACACATTACTCAATTTCTTTTTTTTGAGAGGACTCACTCTTTTGCCCAGGCTGGAGTACAGTGGCATGATCTCTGTTCACTGCAACCTCCCCCTTCTTGTACCTCAGCCTCCCAAGTAGCTGGGATTACAGGCGCCCGCCACTATGCCCCCCTAATTTTTTGTATTTTTGGTACAGATGGGGTTTCACCATATTGGCTACATTGGTCTCGAACTCCTGGCCTTATGATCCACCCACCTCAGCCTCCTGAAGTGCTGGGATTACAGGTGTGAGCCACCGCACCTAGCTGCAGTTTCTTCTCTTAAAGATGGGGCTAGATTGCAATGGTTCTCAACCTAAGGAAATTTTGCATTTCAGGAAATATTTTCTAATTCCCAGAGACATTTTGGTCATAACTGTGAGGATGCTGGTATCTAGTCAGTGGAGGCTAGGGATGGTGCCAATCGCCCTATAAATGTACAGGACCATGTTTGCCAGCAAGCAGTAATCTGGCCCCAAAATGTTAATAGTGTGGAGAATGAGAAACCTTTGGTTTCTTCATGCAATGTCCTTTTTTTTTTTTTTTTTGAGACGGAGTTTCACTCTTGTTACCCAGGCTGGAGTGCAATGGCGCAATCTCGGCTCACCGCAACCTCCGCCTCCTGGGTTCAGGCAATTCTCCTGCCTCAGCCTCCTGAGTAGCTGGGATTACAGGCACGCGCCACCATGCCCAGCTAATTTTTTGTATTTTTAGTAGAGATGGGGTTTCACCATGTTGACCAGGATGGTCTCGATCTCTTGACCTCGTGATCCACCTGCCTCGGCCTCCCAAAGTGCTGGGATTACAGGCTTGAGCCACCGTGCCCGGCTGCAATGTCCTTTTTAAACTTTGTGCCTGTTTTACCAAATTTCCCCCTTCCTCCCACTGAACCTGAGAATAAACACACTCTGGAGGCCAGGCATGGTAGCTCATGTCTGTAATTCCCCAACTTGGGGAGGGTGAGGCAGGTGGATTGCTTGAGGCCAGGAGTTCAAGACCAGACTGGCCAACATGATGAAACCCTGTCTCTACTAAAAATACAAAATTAGCTGTCTGTCTGTAATCCCAGCTACTTGGGAGATGGAGGCTGAGGCAGGAGAATTGCTTAAACTTGGGAGGCGGAGGTTGCAGTGAGTTGAAATCACACCACTGCACTCCAGCCTGGGCAATAGAGTGTGACTCCATCTCAAGGGAAAAAAAAAAGGAAATACCAGGTCAAAGATTGGCAAGGCAACAGAAATCAGTGCAACTAAACACTGTCCCTCCCCCTACCCCCCAGGTTCTCCCCAGTAAGATATCTTTTCTCTAACTTGTCAAAGCCCATTACTAAGTAACAGCTTCATTTGTGAATGCTCTCACCTTTATTTCTCTCCATATACCCGTGATACAGATATTTCACACATAACAAGGTCAAGGACATATGCACGTTCTACCTAAAACAGAGGCAGAACCATGACTAAAACATCTAGCCCAGCAATCGACTCATTTCCCCGAGGAGTGGGGGCGAGGTTGGGGGGAGTCACAGGCAGTTCACCGACACCTGGGAAATCCTTGGCTTCGTTGAGAATGAATGACTCTAGGGGGGATTCAGACAATGAAGTAGCCAGAAGAAGGCCTTTTTTTCCAGGGCTCTTGATCCTCAGTGTCAATAGTCAGTTGTGGGTTGCTGCCTTCTATTTCTTTCAGTAGCTTATCGAGTTCATCAGTAAAGTCATCTATTTTCAACCTGGGGTACAATGGGGGAAGAAAAGGTTACTTTTTGGGTCAAGGAGATTTGTTTCAAGTTTCCAAGAGGCACAGAGCATGGGTCACCTTTCCTGATTATTCTATGTGGCAAAGGAGCATTCCATATTGATTTTTTTTCCTTTTTTTTTTTTGAGATGGAATTTCTGTCACCTAGGCTGGAGTGCAGTGGCATCATCTAAGCTCACTGCAACCTCTGCCTCCCGGGTTGAAGCCATCTGATCCCTCAGCTTCCTGAGTAGGTGGAGCTATAGGCACCTGCCACAACTCTCAGCTAATTTTTGTGTTTTTAGTAGAGTTGGGGTTTCACCATGTTGCCCAGACTGGTTTCAAACTCCTGGGCTCAAGTGGTCTGCCCACTTTGGCCTCCCAAAGTGTTGGGATTACAGGCATGTGCCACCGCACCTGGCCTGATTTGCTTATTTTTAATTTTTAAATATAAAATGAGGCCAGGTGTGGTGGGTCATGCCTGTAATCCCAGCACTTTGGGAGAGTGAGGTTGGTGGATCACTTGAGGTCAGAAGTTTGAGACCAGCATAGCCAACATGGTTGAGGCCCATCTCTATTAAAAATATAAAAGTTAGCTGGGTGTGGAGGTACGTGCCTATAGTCGCAGCTACTCAGGAGCCTGAGGCAGGAGAATCACTTCAACCTGGGAGGCAGAGGTTGTGGTGAGCCAAGATCAGGCCACTGCACTCCAGGCCTGAGCAACAGAATGAGACCTTGTCTCAAAAATAAATATACAATTAAAGACTTTCATTTCCCTTTTTAATCCTTTTGTTCATTCCTCTTTCTTCTCGTTCCCAACCATGTTGATCTGATAGAGAGGAAGATAACATCAGATTAACCTTGTAAAGGTATAAAGCCACCGTGCAGTTTTAGATGGTTGTTGATGAGCATACACAGAGAAATGGAATTGCTGAGTACGGCTGGGCTATAGCTCTAATACCTACCTACCTGCTCCATTACCCATTTTGGCAACTTCTACTCGGTAGACCCAGGAGTACCAGTTCAACGGAGGAGATGCATAACTTGAACCAAGCCAGCCAGACCAGCTTTCGTCCTCTGCACCCAGCTTGGCTACAAGATACCAGCATACCACCACCATTTATCGGCCTGTGATGACAGCCTCATTATGTGGTAGCCATATGTATGTGGAAATGGGAGGCAGGACAGGAAGAAGGAATCATTAAGGCAAAATATGTTTAAAATTAAGAGACCAGAAGATATCAGTAGTCATACTTATTAGGACTATAGTTTTGACTTTTGGTATCAGTTTTGTCGTTCGAGATTCTCAATACAACTATCCAACCACATACTGGCTTGAGTAGGTACCCTGTCTGCAGCTAAAATAATGTGAGAGTATGGCTGGGTGCGGTGGCTCACACCTGTAACCCCAGCACTTTGGGAGGCTGAGGCTGGCAGATCACGAGGTCAGGAGTTCGAGACCAGCCTGGCCAACATGGTGAAATCTGTCTCTACAAAAATACAAAAAATTAGCTGGGCATGGTGGCAGGTGCCCGAGATCTTGCCATTGCACTCCAGCCTGGGCAACAAGAGTCAAACTCTGTCTCAAAAATAAATAAAAATAGCTGGTGTGGTGGCTGATGCCTGTAATCCCAACACTTTGGCAGCCTGAGGCAGGTGGATCATGAGGTCAAGAGATCAAGACCATCCTGGCCAACATGGTGAAATCCCATCTCTATTAAAAATACAAAAAATTAGCCAGCCATGGTGGTACGTGCTTGTAGTCCCAGTGACTTGGGAGGCTGAGGTGGAAGAATCACTTGAACCGGGAGGCAAAGGTTGCAGTGGGCTGAGATTGTGCCACTGCCCTCCAGCCTGGTGACAGAGCAAGACTTCATTTCCAAAAAATAAATAAATAAAAAATAAAAATAGAAAAACTTAAAGCTTAATAAAATCCTTAGTATCCATATGCCTTTTCACTTACAAAGTATCTTAGGCTGAGATTCATGTTAAGTAAACAAGCAATCTGTATTTCTTCTACATAAAGATTATTTTAAGCCAGCAGTAGACTGTGTTGCTTTTGAGGATTTCTAAAAGTTCCCACACTCCTAGGAAATGGCTCTTGGTTCTCTGATGCCATGGTATCCAAATACAACCCAAGCCGGGTGCGGTGGCTCATGCCTGTAATCCCAGAACTTTGGGATGCCAAGGCAGGTGGATCACCTGAGGTCAGCAGTTGAAGACCAGGCTGGCCAACAGGGCAAAACCCTGTCACTACTAAAAATAGAAAAATTAGCTGGATTTGATGGTATATGCCTGTAATCCTACCGACTTGGGAGGCTGAGGCACGAGAACCTGGGAGGCAGAGGTGGCAGTTAGATGAGGTATCACACCACTGCACTCCAGCCTGGGCAACAAAGCAAGACTCCTTCTCAAGCCTCCCCACCTCACCAAAAAAAAAAATCAAACAAACAAACAAAAAAACACAACCCAATGACAATTGGCTCTCATGACCAGATGGACAGCAGCCATGGCTGGGTGCAATGGCTCAGGATAAACCTAGCTACTCCGGGACTGAGGCAGGAGGACTGCTTGAGCCCAGGAGGTAGGGTGAGCCTGCAGCTAGCTGTCATTGTGCTGCTGGACTCCAGCCTAAGGGGACATAGTGAG